GGGCAGGTGGTTCTGGGCTGTATGCAACCCAGAAAGCAGCATTCCTCTTTGGTTTCTGCCTCAGTTCCTGCCCTGACTTCCCACGATGATGGATTCTAACCTGTAAGCTGAGATCAATTCGTTGTTCCCTAAGCTGTTTTGGGTCAGAGTGTTTTCTCACAGCCAGCGAGATGAAGTTAGAACAAGGTGCTAGAATTATTTATTACAGATTTCGCCTTTTCTAGCTTCAGGCACTGATATCTACTTGAGTTGGCTGTGCTAATCTGCTCAAACTAGTGCATATTTTTCTTTCACAACCCAGGCTTTATCTCCCTCAGCAGAACTCCACAGACTGGGGAACTTTTAAATTACAGCTCACAGCACAATTCATAATTTATGCACAAGTAGCATTCTTCTGGAAGCTCTCTCTCAATTTTTGTCCACACTCCTGAGAGCTCAGGAGGAGTTAAGGTTCCCAGGTTGCTGAATACCCTCCCCGTGACTTCATGATACAGGCCCCCTTCCCTTCTGCAGAACCTGAGCGGGCTTCAGTCCTGGACTCTGGGGTGCCAGAGAGAGAAAGGCTTTAATGCTTTTCCTCTCATTTAAAAAACCACATTTATATTTAAGAGTGTGAAAAAAAAAAAAAACCAGGCCAAGCAAGGAAGGAAGGCGCAGGGGTGAGGAAGAATCGTCAACACACTCTCCAGAAGACCAGAGTTTCTGGTCGGTTCTATTGCTCACGAGTCTTATTTGGGTGATGTCGTCGTCGTCAGGATTAGAGATGTCGTTTCTTGGATCTGGTTGGTGGCTATCCATGCAACCCCACATGTGAAGGTCATGTATGTCCTTCATGACTTCTGCAGCTGTAGGACATGGCTGGGAACATTCCTCTCTGCTCTCCAGTTCCCCCCTTGTGTTTGTGTGTAGACTACCATGGAAAATGTATGGTTTGCTGGGTTTGGTGTATATCCAGATTGTCTTCCCTTTGTTTTGTTTCTTTGTTTTCTTTTCTAGGAAAAGGAAACAGTCCTTGGTACCCACATATTTATATAGCATGTATTTGCTGAGCATCTATAAACTCAAATAAAAAGTCTCATCCTCATGGAGTTAGCATTCTGTTGAAGGAAGCCAACATTGGACAAATAAAATAAGTAAATTATAGGGTATGTCAAAAACGATAAGTAACCAGGAAAAAAATAGCAAGGTAAGAATAGGGCTTAGCAGTGGATAGAAAGGGGGATTATGACTTTAAATAGGACAATTGCATAATGTTCCTTAAAAAGGCAACGTTCAAACAAAGATTTGGGAGAAAGATTGCTCATGTTGGGGAAGAGCAAACTATTAGTGGGACAATAAATGCACAAGTGAGACCATGAGGTGAAAATCATGTTCTAGCAACAGTCAAGAGCCCAGCGTGCCCTGGAATGATTAAGTGAGGGGGAGAATAATGGGAAATTAGGGGGGAAATGAGATCAGGAGGAAGAAAAGTGGTAGCATCCAGTAGGACCTTGAGCCTCCTGAGAAGCGTTTGGCTTTTCTTCTTAGGATGGTTGGGATCCACTGTTGAGGTCTGCGCAGAGGGATGCCACAGATCAATCTGGGTCAACAAGGGTCATGCCAGTTAACCTGCCGAGAAGGCTAACGAAAGTAATCTGGATGGACTAGGGTGTGGCCTAGACCCGGTGCGCTGGTGGAGACAATATGAGCTGATTCTGGATGTAGTATGAATGTCGAGCCAGTGGGCCTAGCAGATGGAGATGTGGAGTGTAAGAGAGCGAGAAGGATGAGTCTACAACACTGAGCTCTAATGGTCATGCTGGCCATAGGCAGCCAGGTGGGACACTTCGCATCCTGCACCTGTCTCATAAGAACGCCCGCTATTTACGGCTGAACCCATGGCTACTGATCAGCAGTGTCTCACATTAGTAAAAATTACTTACTGCACTAGTTCCAAAATATACTACAGCCATTTCAGAATCCAGATAGCAAGCAGATTGTATGTCTTACTCTGAAATTAAAGACCGTTGCTCTACTGTTAACTGGTGGTCAACTACTTCCATTGGGAAACCTGATTCATCACAATTGTTGCTCAGAATGAACAAAGGGATGCCGGACTGTGAGGCCGTCACTCTTTGTAGCTAATACAATTGTTTAGAGCAATTCTTTCACACATCAAACCGTTTTAAATCCATTGGTATTTGTATTGACATTTCATTCATAACTGAGAAGCACTTCGTGCTAACCCTTCACAGATCCATCTCTAAATATTGAATATAAGCACAGACATTTCCCACCTAGGAACATCACTCTTGTGGCTTAAAAATGAGATTCTGTGAGCATCCATATCATAGAAACTGGCACACTGTGCATCTCAGGGTCTTTTCCTTCCCAGTAAGCAGATTTACCAGCAAACTCCTGGGCCAAGGCAGAGTATAGAGAGATGAATGCCAACTTCAGGCAGCCCTGTTGCATGGGGGATGCTGCTTGCCCAGAGAGAAAGGAGTGTTTTGTTACCAGTGATACTGTTCAAACTTTTTAGGTGATAATGCTAACAAAATGCAGGCCAATTTTATGTCTGGGTTCTCTGCCATATTCTTTTCTATTGAATGAACCAAAGGCAGATGCCTCCCTCCTACCCCTCTGTGTTCCACTCTCGTCCTCTCATGGCCCTGTGGACATAATTTGGAACTTCTTAAGTCTTTGTTTCTTAATCTATTCAATGATGACCTTCAAACTCACCATGCTGATTTGTCATAAGGATTCAAAACCAAAAGAAGTATTGAATAAGTGCAGAGAATCGTAGTATTGATGAACTTTCAAGGTCTCCTCACATCTTTAAGAGAACAGAGGTGTAGTCTTTATAGAGAACAGCCTTCTCATGCCCGCTGTGCTTTCCAGGTCCTAGAACTCTGTATATGCTGATCCCTACATTGGATGTCCCTTTTCCCTATTTTAGTTTTGAAACTGTTCATTCCAGTCAGGTGGCCCAGCTGCTCCCAGAACTATGAAGCTTTTCCTTATTCTCACAGATGACATAATCCCCTTCCTTTCTCCCATCCAGGCACTAAACAGGACAGACCCTGCTTAGCTTCCTAGATCAGATGAGATTGGGCACATTCAGGGCAGTATACTTGTAGACTCTCCTTTCTTCATTTAATGTGCCTGTTCCTAGGCCCAGACCAAGTGGACTAAAACTCAACATTTTAACAAGATAACAAAGGGACTCGTGTGTGCTGTGAAGAGCAGTCCTGCTAAACAACCGCTTTTTGAACTTGGTTGCATGTTGAACTATCAGAGGAGTTTTAAAGCTTTCCTCCCAGAAAGCTTTGTAGATTTACCAACAAACTCCCAGGCCACAACAGAGTGGCACATCTGTGCAGCTCCACCTGTGCAGATCCACCTGTGCAGATCCACCTGTGCAGATCCACCTGTGCAGATCCACCTGTGCAGATCCACCTGTGCAGATCCATATGTGCAGCTATCTGTGCAGCCCCACCTGTGCAACTCCATCTGTGCAGCTCCATCTGTGTAGCTCCATCTACGCAGCTCCACCTGTGCAGCTCCATCTTTGCAGCTATACCTGTGCAATTCCATCTATGCAGCTCCACCTGTGCAGCTCCACCTGTGCAGCTCCATCTGTGCAGCTCCCCCTGTGCAGCTCCATATATGCAGTTCCATCTTTGCAGCTCCATCTCTGCAGCTCCATCTCTGCAGCTCCATCTCTGCAGACTCTATCCCCAACAGACTCTGATTCAGGTGATCTGGGCATTGATAGTCTTTAAACTCCCAGTGACACCAGTATGAAGCAAGGTCAGAGGCCCACTGCTCTGTAAACACCTCTTCCACTTCCTCATGAGGCCTCTGGCTCTCTCATGCTCTCTGATGCCATGGTTGTTTGCTTTCACATATGGTTTTTCACCTCTGTTAAACTATGCATTTTAAGAGTGAGATGAGAACTGGCTCTTTTTTATTGATTTTATTGAGCTCTACATTTTTCTCTGCTCCCCTCCCTGCCGCTTCTCTCCCCTTCAACCCTCTCCCAAGGTCCCCATGCTCCCAAATTACTCAGAAGATCTTGTCTTTCTTACTTGCCCTGTAGACTAGATTCATGTAAGTCTCTCTTAGTTGTCTAGGTTCTCTAGGATTGTGATTTGTATGCTGGTTTCCTTTGCTTTATTTCTTAAAGCCACTTATGAGTGAGTACATGTGATAATTGTCTTTCTGGGTCTGGGTTACCTCACTTAATACGATGTTTTCTAGCTCCATCCATTTGCCTCCAAATTTCAAGATGTTATTTTTTCTGCTGTGAAGTACTCCATTGTGTAAATGTACCACATTTTCCTTATCCATTCTCCAGTTGAGGGGCATTTAAGTTGTTTCCAGGTTCTGGCTATGACAAACAAAGCTGCTATGAACATAGTTGAGCACATGTCCTTGTGGCATGGTTGAGCATCCTTTGGATATATACCCAAAAGTGGTATTGCTGGGTCTTGAGAAAGGTTGTTTCCTAATTTTCTGAGAAATCACTGCACTGACATCCAAAGGGATATACTAGTTTGCACCCCCACTAGCAATGCAGGTGTGAGAATTGAATTTTAATACAGTTTTATCACCTTTTTCTTTAAGAAGAGCCATATTATAGGAATTTCATATTTATTGAAGGGTTGATTTATTTGTAAACTTAAATTCTTCCCTTGATACCATAAATATGGCTGTTGGCCAAATCTGAGGACAATTGAGACACAGTCTCAAAATCGAGAGGTTGTTTGTCAGTCCTAAGGAAATCTCTAGAAAATCAGAGGCAGATAACTAAAAAGGGTTTTCTAACTGAGAATGGACTCTCTGGGTACCAGTGCAGCCATCCTGCTCCATCTATGCATCTTCCTGTAGAAAGCCAAAGCTTTGAATCCTGACTCCAGAGGGCAATGCAAAATGATGCAGAATGTCCCCAGATACTTCAGGCGTCCGATTCAGAACTCCTGGCTGAAGGTTGATGATATTTCTCGCTCTCTCTCCAGGGTGCCATTTTGATATTTATGGGCATCGTTGTCCCCACTATGAAGGCATCTGTTATTGAAGTCTTGCTCGGTGAGTACCAGGCTGTGTGGATCTGGATGCTCTTTGAATCTGGCAAGAAAGGTTTTAAGCCAAGACAGAACACATGAACAATAACAGAAACTTAAGGGGGAATGTTAAGAATAGCTCAAATTTAAGATGCCTCTGTGTGTGTTCATTTAAAACAAATATTTGTATCATATATGTGGTTTACATGGTACATTTAGTATACACACATATTCGATCAACAAACACATATTTCAGATCCTGAATTTAAGATCCCTCTGTTTCTTAATTTCTCAAAAAAGAAGAGGAATATTTCTAAGACAATGGTTTTACTTAGGCAGTTAAGTTCTCATACTTTGAAGATGAAATATTTGAGGCCTTTCTTATTTTCCAAGAATACAGTTTGGATGTCTTTGAGGAACAGCAGACCTACTGGGCTCCAAACACTGCTGGTGTGTTTAGAACTAAACCAGGGGGAATATTCTGTTCTTAGTACCCACTGTCTGGGGCTTTGCCGGCTGACATAAATCTGCATGCTATGCTGAAACAGAGGGGCATGAAGTCTGTATAGATAGTCTGTATTAACTTGTTGGGGCTTTACCACAAGCTGGGTAACCTAGAGCAACAAAAATGTGTTGCCTTCCGGGTCTGGAATCTTGAAATCCAAAATCAATATGTCAGTGAGGATGGTTCTTTCAGCCAGTACTGAGGGGAAAAGTCTTCCCTAGGCCTCTTCCCTAACTTCTGGATGCTTTCTGGAAATCTCTGATGTTCTTGGTTTATGGGTACGAACACTCTTGTTCCCATCACCTTCACCTGGCACCCCCTGTGTGCCTGCCTGAGCCTGTCTTTTCCCTTTTTGTAATGATATCAGTTTTACTGGATCAAGAACTCCAGTATGACCTCATCCCATTCAACCAATGATCTGTGCCAATCACCTACTTTCAGACCAGGTCACATTCCGAGAAGCTGGGGATTCAGACTTCAGTGCACAAATTGCATGGGGAAGAGATGACGTTTAGTGCATTACAGAATGAACATGCTCAAGCCTGTTCAGAGGGAGTTGCCTGGACACAACTGAGGACTGGGGGGGGAAAAGGTGACATAGTTTGAGAAGCAAAGAAATCTCATCATGATCGGATGATCACCGGGCTGAAGTCAGAGAGAGGACATGCGTTCAAGTTCTGAGACACCATCAGTTTGTTGTTAGCGGTGGTTCTCAACCCTCCTAATGCTGTGACCCTTCACTACAGTCCCTCATGTTGTAGTGACCCCAACCTTAAAATTATTTCATTGCTACTTCATAACTGTAATTTCATTTCTGTTACAAATCGTAATGCAAATATCTAATGTGCAGGATAGCTGATATGTGACCCCTGTGAAAGGGTCATTCAGCCCTGGGGCTTATGACTCATGTTGAGAACCACTGTCTTAGAGCCACTGTCTATGCAAGCACCCACATACTCTAAAATTAAGTCAGTCTCTCTAGAGCAGGAGCTACATGGGGGTATGCTCTTTGTGGATTCCGGGAACTGAATTCTCAACGTCTGATCCACCATCCCAGCCCCTCGTAAGCCCTTCTTTACCTGCGTGTGCTGTATCATAATTTGCCTGCGACTAATCATATACACACCCAGTTATGCAGGAGCATGCGATGATAAATAGGGGGTTGTCTGTAAGAGTTCACCCAGAAGACATAGTTTGACCAGTTCAAGCTGGACCAGTCTTCTGTCTTTAACTACCGAATGTTACAGGACATTCTTGCATGGAAAATCGCCCCAAAGGAGGGTTACCAAAAGGTTGTTGAGAGGAGCAATTAGACTGTTTAGAGCGGGTGTATGCATTGCTTAGTGCAGGTGGAGTCCCAGGTTGCTAAGGCCTTGATTAGAAGAGGGATTGAGGATAGCTCGAGCCAAGTGGAATTCGGCTCCGTTAGGCTTTCCCTGCTCTAGGCTGCCTCATCAATGCAATTACTTCATATGCCAGGCCTGCTTTAGTAGTAAAGGGAGCGTGTGCCATGGGAGCACAGTCTTTCACTTCCTCATTACTTTGAGCTCCAGGTTAACAAGTTTTTAACATTAAAGAAGTGGAGGTGAGCTGCCTCCTGTTCTCCGTTGTGGTGCAAGGTCAAGGTGAAAAGGAGAACCGCTTCCAAGAACCTCGCAACCTCAGGCTCTGTCTCAATACCTGCGTCGGGGAGAGCAGGGCAGCCAAGGGTTGGAGCAGCTCACAGGCCAGAGACCTGCATTTCTCAAAGCTAGATCCCTGTCAGGTCTTTCAGCATCCGAGGAAATAAAAAGATTGCTGCTCCCTGCACAGTCTGTGGAGCCAAGGCGGAAGAAATCCCGGAGAAAGATTTGAGGCTGTGACAGTATAAGTTATAAGGAAATCACTTTTCAGATCCTGGAATTTTGGTTTGGGGATTCAGGAACATGGTGATCTGGACCTCAGATATGACCTACATTGGGATCTCCTGGATTTCCATGCGGTGCTGTTGGGAAGGTCGGGATTCAGCATGGCAGACAGGAAGTGCAGGACAAGCCGCATTGGGGCCACAGAATCAACAAAGGGGAGGCCATGTGCTGGTCTCAGCAGCAGTGTGATGGGGTCATTCTTCCTAGAAAATAAACCTTATTCAAAAGGCCAATAAAATTCTCCTAGGGGAAAAAAAAGTGGAGGTGAGAATAAGAAGAATTTCCTAAAACAAAATGAAACAAATCTTAACAGGGTGGTTCACACCCTGCCTTTTCTTATGTACCACAGACCCAAGAAGGGAGACTTAGCTACTCTGTTCCCTGCCTCTCATGGCCTGCCCCTTTCCTCACAAGGACGCTCCTACAATGAAGGGCACCCTATACCTCAGCACAATGGAAGCCAGATACAACAATCCCACACTACACCATGGGAGCCACATTGACAATTCCACGCTACACCATGGAAGCCACATATGACAATCCCACTCTACACCGTGGAAGCCACATATGGCAATCCCACACTAAAAGTGCAAAGTCCTTCCTCTATGATGATGAATAAGATAAATATGTCTATTCTTGTGCTGAAATTCCTAGTCAGATCAGTTAGGTAAGGAAAAGGTTAAAAAATAAGTCACTGGGCTCAAACGATGGCTTGGTGATTAAGAGCGTGTATTCTTCCTACAGGTGAGCTGGCACCTACATCGGGCAGTTACCAACCCATTGTAACTCTAGTTCTGAGGGAATCTGATCCCTCTGGCTTATAGAGACACCTGCACTCAACATGCCCCCAACACACATGATATTAAAATTAAGATTTAATTCAAAAAATACTAAGTAAATTGGAAAGAAACTAAAAAAAAAATGTCTACGAGAATAGGACACATGACATGTAGAAAACACCTACCAACAAGTAGTAAAGTAAAGAAACTCAGTAAATGTACAGAATTTTGCTGCTTTTGTGTTGTTGTGCCAGAACAACACGACAGGAGGAAAAGATTAGACTGGGCTGGGGTTTCAGACCATAATGTCAAGACGAGCCTGGTGGGACTGGGCTGTTCGGTTCATAGCAGAAGGTGTGGCAGGGGCTCTGTGGGTCACAGCAGACCGGGGAGCAGACAGAGAAACAGAACAAAGGGCTAGGCACAACCTTCCAAAGTCAGCCTAGGTGACCTGTATCCTCATTCCATCATCCAAGTCTGACCCTCAAAAAGTTCTCAGCCTCCTAATAACACCACCAACTGGGGAGCAATCAGTCAAAGCAGGAACCTATGGGGCACATTTCAGATTCGACATATATTATGCCCTTGCCTCCAAAGCTCATGGTCATCTCATAATATAAACTGTATTTAACCCAAGTTAAAGAGTCCCCGAAGCTTTAACAGTCTCAACATTGTAACTCTGAAGTTCAAGTTCTCTTCTGAGGCACAAAGCAAACTATTAATTATGAGGTTCTGGAATAGCAAAAAGTCATGGCCATCCAGTATATAGTGATAGAGCATAGGTGTGCCCATTCCAAAATGGACAGATGGAATATAGGTGGGAAAGAGGGGCCGAAGGGAGGCTGAAATCCATCATGAAAGCAGAAACTAGGTAGTTCTGTGCCAAACACCTGGTGCCCCAGTAGCTGGACTCCAGAAGTCCTGGGCATGGCTGCAGCTATGGTCTAACACTTATGGCTTCTTTTTGGACATCTCCACTGGCACCTGCCACTTTCCTTAGTCGCTATCCCATGTTCTTGGCGGTTCCAAAATCCCAGAAACTTGGCTTGAGCTCTGTGTGTCACTTGCTGAGGTCCCTGCACAATATCCAACCTGTCTACACATTGCCTGACCTCCTAGGCCTGTCTCACAAACTGTGGTGGATGCCTTCATGGGCCTGTGAGTCTCACATTTTGCATGTCATAAAATGAGGAACACCCATACAATGAGTGCTAAAATGTTTAACTCCTGGGTCAGCTCAAGCCACAGACAGGACTGTTGAAATAAGAGCGGCGGGGCTGCGTCCCCAACACCCCGGCCGCTTGGCTAGCTCATGCCCGAAATAACAACACAAAAACTGTATTCATTTAAGAACTGCTTGGCCCATGAACTCTAGCCCTTACAGGCTAATTCTCGCACCTGGACTAGCCCATTTCTAATGATGTGTGTAAGCACCCCAAGGTGCGCTTACC